TGAGAGGGAGGAGGGTCAGAGGGAGAAGCAGACTCCCCTGCCGAGCAGGGAGCCCGACGCGGGACTCGATCCAGGGACTCCAGGATCATGACCTGAGCCGAAGGCAGTCGCTTAACCAACTGAGCCACCCAGGCGCCCCATATGATATCATCTTTAAATGGCATGCGATAGTCTTACGTGTAGAGCTTTATTTATGGTAGTAGTGAAAGTATGAACTGATAGGCTGTTTTCACAACTTAGCACTTCTTCCCCATCTGCTATGCATCAATGAGATATTACAGAATTTTTATCCATGTTTCTTTAAATGAAATGTGAAGAATGTGAAGGTAATTATTAGTATTTTTAGGAGTATGATAAACATAATATAAATTGATGTGCTATCAGTATAGAAAGAAATTATTTAATTTTCAAGCAATATCGTATTAGGTAAAAGTCACAAATTACTTACAAATGGGATTTCTTAAAGGGCTTGTATTTACATGACAAAATGGTATATTAATAATCTAAAAAACCAGTATGTATACCTTGTAGTTATTGGAAATTTTAAACTTTTTTATTTCTTGCCTTAAACCTAATTTCAAACTTTCTTTATGATTCATGGCAAGGGGAAGTTCATTCTTTTGTAATTACAGAGAAACATTTTTGGTTCCTCAAGATATGATCTTGGTTCCCAAAGTATATACTACACTCCCGGTCTGCATGCTCCACATTGTTAATAATGACACAATGGAACAAGTGCCAAAAGTGTTCCAAAAAGTGGTGCCTTATCTTTATACCAAGAATAAGGTAGGTGCAAAATTTATTCTCCCCATATGATAGACTGGCAGCGAGAAGCCAGTGCCTTAGTAAGATTCCAGGAGCAGGTTAGAGCAGATGTGCTTTTCAACCTACTTAACAGAGGAATGGGGTCCTGGTCGTTTTCTGTAGAAGTCCCATTTATTTGACAGTCCAAGGTATTTAATGTGAGTGCTAGAACATTCACCTCTCAGCTCTCTTTTTTCTTCTCTCTGAAGAAAATATGACAAAAGGAAAGCATTGGAAAGTCCTATAAAATCATAAAATCATATAAACCTTTAAAATGGAAATGGAGGTAAAGGGCTCATTTAGTCCTATTCTTTGGGTCAAATTAGCTGGTTGTCTCAGTTTCCCACTGGGTTTTTATTCCATCCCTAAATATTTCAGAAGATTGTGATTACATGGCCATTCATCACCCACCACCCCCAGTCTTTTCCAGGGCTACACAGATTCTTTAAAAAGCACTTGGCACATTACTCCTGCTGCACGATGGACCCTGATTTCTGAGGATCCCACTCAAATCATGTTGCCTTTCTATTTGAATCTCATCTTTGTGTTTTTGGTTATTTCCTCTTAGAGGGAAGCATAACAAAAGGCGGTATACACCTACATTGTAAACTGGGAGATTTGTTTTTACTCTGGCCTTTCATTCTTTACCTATATGGTTTTGAATCTTTTCATTTTTCTCTTTGAGCTATGGTTGTAGTTGACTTTCAAAGTTCATTTCAGCCCATGATTCTGTGCATTATTTTGCACAAATTAAGACATACCTATCTAATGAATACTGATTTATAGGAATGAAAGATAAATTTTTAAAAGTATTAAGTCCATAAAAAACCTAAAAGCTCTTTTGAGTTGTTTAAGAGATTTTTTTTTAATGAGATTTAAATTTTTTTTAAGGCTTGGAAGGGTTTTGGGGTGCCTGGGTGGCTCAATCAGTTAAGCCTCTGCTTTCGGCTCAGGTCACGATCCCAGGGTCGTGGGATCGAGCCCCATGGTGGGCTCCCTGTTCAGTGGGGAGCCTGCTTCTCCCTATCCCTCTGCCTGCCGCTTGCCCTGCTTGTGTGCTCTCTCTATCTCTCTCTCAAATAAATAAATAAAATGTTCTAAAAAAAAAAAGACTTGGAAGGGATTTAAGACTTCATTGCAACTCTTAGTAGCAATAAATAAGAGCAGTTTTAGCTTCACAGCAAAACTGAGAGGAAAGTACAGAGATTTCCCATATACACCCTGCTTCCACATGTGCACAGCCTCCCCATTATCGACAAGCCCCACCAGAGTGGCACATTTATTACATTGATCATCCTACTCTGACACGTCATAATCCCCCAAATTCCATGGTTTATATTATGGGGGATATATAAAGAGTGTTTTCACAGCCCTAAAAATCCTCTGTGATCCACCTATGTATTTCTCCTCCTCGACCCCTGACCTTTTTTCTGTCTCCATAGTTTTGCCTTTTCCAGAATGTGGTAAAGTTGGAATCGTATAGTGTGTAATCTTTTCAGTTTTGTTTCTTTCAGTTAAAAACAGGCATTTAAGATTTTTCCATGTTTTTTATGGCTTAATAGCTCATTTCTTTTTAATAATAATATTCCACTGTCTGCTTGTTTAAAAGTTTATCTACCTATTCATCTACCAAAGGACATCTTGTTTGCTTCCAAGTTATGGCAATTATGAACTAAGCACCTACAAATGTCTGTGCGCAGGTTTTTGTGTGGACATAGGTTTTTGGCATAAATACCAAGGAGCACTATTGTTGAACTGTATATGTGTAGTTTTGTAAGAAACTGCCAAACTGTCCTTCAAAATGTCTGTACCATTTTTCATTCCCACTAGCAATGAATGAGAGTTCCTGTTGCTCTGTGTCTTCATCAGCATGTAGTATTTCCAGTGTTATGGATCTGGGCTATTCTAATAGGAGTGTAGTGGTATCTCATGGTTGTTTGAGTTTTTCTTTTTTTTTTTTTTTAAAGATTTTATTTATTTATTTGACAGAGAGAGACACAGTGAGAGAGGGAACACAAGCAGGGGGAGTGGGAGAGGGAGA